TATGGGGATAGAAGAGGGTGTCTGGGGATAGATGGGGGTGTATGGGGCTAGCCAGAGGGGTGTATGGGGATAGATGGGGGTGTATGGGGATAGCCAGAGGGGTGTATGGGGGTAGTTGGGGGATAAAAGATGGATTCCCTGCAGAGCATGCTCAGCTGTGGGAGGGGGAGCTGGCCACTAGCCAGGCTCCTGAGTTGGCAGCAGTGTTCCAGAGGCAGCAGCGCACAGCGCACAGTGCACAGTGCACTGGGGCTGCACTGCAGAGGTGGGGGCCGGTGGAGCTGCCGGAGGGTAACTGGGGCAGAGAAATGCTGTAGCTGAGAGTGCTGCCCCCTGCTGGCAGGTCCTGTCTGTTCCGTAGCTCCCGTGGCGGAAGATGGCCCTCGAGAGGCCGGGTTCACTTGGTAGAAGATCCCCCATGGGTAGGTGACAGGCGGTGGGGCCATCTGACCACTGCCATCTGCTGCCTCCGCTGGCGTTGGCACAGTTCTGGTGATTCCCGGCCCAGTGGCGCAGAGAAAAGCTCCCCTTAGCGTGCTGTGGGGCGTGGGGGATGGGCTCCCTGGCCCAGCTCCCAGGGACCCTGGCAAAGGCTGGACACAGTCCTAGCAGAACTTGATACGGGGTCTCCCCAAACCCATTCGTCCAGGATTTGAAAGAAACAACATCTGTGTGTGTGTGTCTGCATGAATCAGGGGTTATCCTACCACCCATTACCGCAGTACAACTGACAGCAACAGCTAATTTGTCGTGTGACTGCACAATGCCTGCAGGAGCATAAACAACGGGCTCCACTGGGATCTGCGGGGGGCTGTCCCCGGGGAAGGGATGGTGGAGGAGGAATGGGGCCCCACGGATGGGGAGCCGTCTCCTGGCCCCTATGGAAGGACCACATGGCATGGTCTGACCTGGGCGGTTCCTGTGCTGGAGCCTAGGCCTGTCGCTGACTCTTCTCTCCCCACAGCAGCTTGCATGTGGGTGCCTGGGGGCCAGGAGCTGCCATGCTCAGCCCCTCTGATAGGGAGAGCAGCAGCAGTAGCAGCAGCAGCCCCGGCGTGCTGAGCCTTGGGGCCGGGAGCAGGGAAGACGGGGAGCCAGAGGGAGAGGAGAAAATCTGCGCCGTGTGCGGCGACCGAGCCACCGGCTACCACTTCCGTGTCATGACCTGCGAGGGCTGCAAGGGCTTCTTCAGGTGAGAGCCCCCCTGGCGCCATCGTCCTGCCAACCTCCAACCCCCTGTCCTGGGCCTTTCCACCCCATGGGGCCGGCAAGGGCAAACGCTGCCTCCTATTGGTGCTGCGCAGGCAGGGCACTGCCCTGGGTCACACCCAACACCCCTCAGAACAGGGAGGGTTGGGGGGCGGGGAGTGCAGTGGTGTGTATACATGTGTGCATAGGGTATGTGTAGTGTGTAACAGTGTTCTTATGTGCTTGTGTGTGGGGAGGTATGCAATGAGATCAGATGTGTGTGTGTGGAGGGGTTTGACCGATAGTGCAACCGCATGCAGCATCTCAGGGGACCATGCTGTATCCAGTTTATGAATGGTTGCTGTAGCTTTGTGCCCAGGGATTGGAGCAGCTCCATGGGGGAAGGTTACCCAGGAACTAAAAACAGCGGTGGGGGGAGGTGATTCCTACAGCCCCGGCGACTGTAAACAGCTCTGGAGAGGTACCACCCTGGAGTGGTTTGGAGAGACTGGTTTAGGCCAGGGCAGTCACAGAGGACAAAGGAAGAGGGTGCGTTGTAAAGGCTGATTCGGGTCTGAACCTTGCTGAAAGGTTGGAAAGGCGGCCGGGCCAAGCCTGTCTGGTTAGTGCATGTGCAAAGCTCTTTCTCACCGTTACCCTTCCTCTGGGAGGCTTTTGTCCTTCAGATACATGCGCTCTGCTGGGGAAGGGCTGGGGGGGTCACTGGTAACATTGTCTCTTTGGAGAGAACGCATGATACAGGTGCTGGCCTTGCTGGGGATGTCACAGTGTAAGGCAGGGGGCTGTGCAGCTCAGGAAGGAGTGAGACGGGTCTCGGCCCACGTGAGGTGATGGCTGGGAGCTGGAAGCCTCAAGAAGGTGCCCTCGAGGGGCCACAGAGGGAGAATACAGGTGCAGTTACCCTCAACTGTGACAGGGTGTAGTGTACAAGGTGTATGTGTAAACTGGTGTGTCTATAAGGGATGTGTGAGTAGGTTGTGGATGTGTATGGGGGGGTGTTGATGTGCATATTCGGGGTGTGCATTGGGATGTCTATGTGGGTGTGTACACAGGTATGCGTATGCATTGGGGTGGGCATGTGTGCATAGCATGTCTGTGCGTTGGGATGTGTGTGGGGGGAGGGTGCAGTGTGTGTGTGTTTGTGTGCACACAGGCAATGCCCTGGCTCAGTGGCTGTTGTGTCCGGCCCTCATGACAGCTGCCCTGTGGCTGTACTGTCCTGTGTCTCAGAGCCGCCATGTGCTCGTCTCCAGGAGCGTTTGCTGCTGCTGAGCCCAGGTTTATCTCAGCTGATGCCCAGGCGAGTACAGCCGTGGCTGTGACGCAGGGTGTGGCTGGGACGCTCTGCCGGGCGCGACTCCCATCCCAGAGTTTTGGACATGACCGTCCAGGCCTGCCCCTCCCTGCAGGGCTCAGCTCAGCTTGGATCCCAGGCCCTTGTCCACTTGCCCAGCCCCCCAGATTCACCCAGGCCAGCTCTGGCTCCAGGCAGGCTGCGTTTCGGCAGCACTCAGCAGGGTCTCTGCTCTGGGCCACTGTGCAGATTCCTGTCATGTAATGGGATGTGCTGACTGAACTGGGCCTCACCTGCTGCCTCTTGCGGCTGCCAGCCTGAGACATGTGCCAGGCCTGATGGGCAGCAGCATCCCTGCATGGCTAACTAGGGTAACTACCCGCTGCACCGTACTGCCGGGACCTGACACCCATACAGCACTCCCTACTGTGCCTTCACCCTGCTCCCTGCAGCACAGTGCCCTCTAGTGCCAGCCTGGGGCACTGGGGTCATCACTGGCTGTGCAGGGCAAGCTCCCCTTCTGCTCTCTGCAGCACCGTGCCCCCAGTGCCATGCTGAGCCACTTGCACCACTTCCTGCAGCATTCAGAGTAGCAGCCTGTTAGTCTGTATCCGCAAAAAAAACAGGAGTACGTGTGGCACCTTAGAGACTAACAAATTTATTAGAGCATAAGCTTTCGTGGACTACAGCCCACTTCTTCGGATGCATATAGAGTGGAATAAATATTGAGGAGATATATATACACACATACAGAGAGCATAAACAGGTGGGAGTTGTCTTACCAACTCTGAGAGGCCAATTAAGTACCCAGAAGTCACCTCCTACAAGACAGGCCCAACAAAGAAAATAACAGAACACCACTAGCTGTCCCTTTCGGCCCCCAACTAAACCCGCTCCAGCGCATCATCAGAGATCTACAACCTATCCTGAAAGATGATCCTT